TGCTGGATCCGAGATGCAGCCGCCGCCCCGAAAAGTGAGATTTGCCCGGGAAAGGGGAATGCCTGGAGGTCTTGGGGATCGGAGGGAGCCTATGGGCACTGGGCTCAGGGTGGAACACAGGGAGTGGCAAGGAGGTCAAAGCCCAACACAGAAGAAACCGAGGAAACAGCCCAGCCTCTCTCGGGCCCCGCCCCCTCACCGCTCCCTGTGAGGTGTTTTGTAGGTCCCCACGCCGGAATGGGGTACAAGGCTGGGGATCTTAATCTCTTATAATCTTACAGGTGAAGCCAGCCCAGGAGGTGAAACTTCGCTTCTTGGAGCAGCTGAGCATCCTTCAGACCCGGCAACAGAGAGAGGCGGATCTGCTGGAGGACATCAGGTAGCTCCAGACCCCTCACCTTCACATACACCATCTTCACAGGAGCTAGCACCACTCGTGTCTCAGTCTGTCAGGGTTGGGCGTTGTCAGGATGATCTTTCTGGCCTATTCTTTTATGGCCCTCATCTTAGGCCTGCCTCTTCAGATGCTGGGGCTCTATATTCATAAACAGAGAGCCCCTTCCTCAAACCCCACACCACTCTCCTCACCCCCACAATCAAGCTTAGAGCACAGTCCCCTCCCTCTCCCAGACCTGTTGTAAGTCTGGCGGACACCAAACCCTGTCGGTTCTCTCACCTCCAGGCCCACAGATGGTCCTACAGGGGTGGGAGGATCCTGCTGGGGCTCTGAGCAATAAGGTGAGGCTGACCTGTGTTGCAGCTGCCGGAGGTGATCTCAAGGACTCTCATCGTTCAGACCTATTCCCTCTGGATGTAGTCACCCTCTGGGCTGGTTCCCTCTTCCACCCGCTCAAGTTGAGGGGAGAATTGAGTGTGGGAGAACAGCAGCAAACAGTAACCCACCGTTCTACTCTCACACTCCACAGATCCTACAGCAAGCAGAGGGCGGCCATTGAACGAGAGTATGGCCAGGTATGGGACTCCTGTCTGAACCTTCCCTCTTGTTCTAGCTTCCTTGACACAGGCAGCAGTGCCCCACCCCCACCTTATTGTGGTCAAGACAAATAACCTAACTGTGTGATGCTTTTATTTGTGAGTTAATTGGAATAAGATGATTTTATAAATTTTTTTAAAAAGAACAAATATTTAGAATCTGCTAGATTTGTGTCAAAACCCTGCTCTACTACTTACTTAGCTGTGCGATCTTGGGCAAGTTATTTGGTATTTTTGGCCTCAACTTTTTTTCTCTGTAAAATGGGAATAGTAATAATAATACCCAAACTCCACATATGGTTATAAGGATTGAATGAATTAGTGAATGCAAGGCATTTGGGGAATGTATAGGTTGTATAGCCGAAGAATGTATCATAGACCCCGGTTCCAGATTCTCCTCCTTTTGGGGTGGGTCTTCATAAAAGATCTGCACTTGTGGTTTTCTCGCCAGGCACTCCAGAAGCTGGCTGGGCCATTCCTGAAGAGAGAAGGGCAACGGAGTGGGGAGGTCGACAGCAGGTGAGTTGCAGAGTTGGAAATGATGGGGAGCTCAGCCCCAGAGATCTCTGGAGATGAGGACCTAATGAGCAGGGGAAGGCACGGGAGCTGCAGGTAGAGCTGACACAGCAGCGGCAGAGGAACTGACCCAGCAAGGACACTGTGGGTGGGGGTGGAGGGCAGGAGTGATCCTGT